TATACAAATAGTGGTATTTAAGACAATTATGAAAAAAAACTTTACATACAAACTCGCCCCAGTTTTATCTTCACTAGCCAATGATCATGCGATACTAAAGGAGGGCTTAGACCGTACAATTGGTTACCTCCAAATGTTCGGCTTTGCGAGTTCCTGATGGAGGTAAAACCAGGAAAACGCTGCGAACGCAAGACATTTATTTAGTATTGTTTTCAATTTGTTTTATAGCGAAGATAAGTTTCGTCCATAATTTAAACCATTAATATAAGAAAAAAGAGACGTGGCAAGATTGCTATTGAGACAACAGTAACGAATGACAAGACACCAAAGAACGAGGATACAAACAACTTTAAGGTGGTACATAACACTACAGGAAGATAACTATGTAAAAATCAGCTGAACGTTTTAATCACTTTCTATTGTTAAGGAAATATTAAGCTCCTCAATGATCAAAATTAGTGTTTGTCAAACTGCTTTTTTCCGATAAAGTGTGTGATTCAAGTTTTTTGAAATTTTTATATTTTTGTCAAAGGGTCAAAGTAAATATTTTTTCAAAACTTTATGAAAATTAAACGAGCCAAATTAATTTAAGTCGAGGTGTTTGGTACCACCTTAAGTCACCGTACGGCCTTCAAAAATTAGAAAAACCCATAACGTAAAGAAAGCTATAAAAGACCAAGGCATGACAACATTTGATAAAATTGAAAAGGAAAACAAACGGCCTGATTTATGCTAAAACGATAAACTAAACACAAATGTGACAGACAGCAACCAACGACAACCGCCGAATTACAATTGTACAGGCACCTGACATGTGACAGGAACAAACATTATGTTGTGAGATAAAAAGGCTTGTAAGCACTTAAACTCATCGTAAGCTGAGACAGTGGTGTGTCTCAGTTGGAAAGAGCTTGGCTCATCAGATTGACACGAATAATAGTAACTAACAAAAAAAAAAGACAACCCCAAAATAACACAAGGTTCCATTAACGAGTACTCGCAGTCATTGAAAACAAGTACAATGCCAATTTCAACTAATGAATAAACCATGTGTTTCCAGACTTAGACATCAAACAGTACACATCCAACGAATTAAGTATAAAGACGTCACTATAAAGTAAGCATGACCTTGTAAAATGTCAACTTATAAGAAATGACAGGATATAAGATCATACCCGTATATCAATAGTATATACATATTTAATTATGTTTTAATTCATTAAAAATAAAAATCAATATTTGAACCGATAAAGACGATATTCAAAGATCTTATTACATTGTCAAATTGTCAACCTTTAAGAATAAGTTTTTGTTAAAAGAAATAATAAGTATATGTGGGTCGTATCTAAATTTACGGTCTCTATAAACAATGTCACCGTAAAAATTAATATTTTATCAGGTATCTAGGTACACATAACATCCAACTAAATAATTTGAAACTATTGAATAATTTAGTAAAGATTTTAAGTAATTTGGAAGGGAATTCTTCATTTAATAATTTTCCAGGCACAGATTATTATATACATTGAAATCTAAAACGCCATTTCAGACAGTCTATTAGTGTTCACTTGCAATAAACCCTTTTTTTGGCGAACCGCCTCATTATATAACAGTCAACTCGATATTTAATGTCTGTATAATAAAATATGCAACGCACAATTGTTTTACATCTGCATTCATCATTGGGTCATTTGTTATTTTTAAGTCAAAGTTTATTCATTATAGTGATGCATGATTAACATATATGTATGTTTTTTATGTTTTGTTTTTCTTACACTCTGTTTTCACTTTTTTGTTTTTATAATCTATATGCTCACTCTGGTTTCAATGACAGATTATTCTTTATAGAACATTAATACATCAAAATACTAAACACTACATAAAAAAAACCCAAGTTAAAGTCAAACGTGATACTTTATGAAGAAACGGAACGAAAGGAAAACAAATGTCATATTCCTGACTTGGTACATGCATTTTCCGAAGAAAATGGTTGGTTGGTTAAACCATCGATCAATTTAACAAACAAACAAAAAACCCCTCAAACATGTTGAGTTTGAGAATAATCGCGTATAACAGGAATGGATTCAAATGAAGTGTGGCGATCAACCGAACGCACGCAAGCATTCCATATATTTCCTGTAAACAATTGTTTCTGTACATTTCTATCAATCGTCTGACATTTCGAAAAAAAGAATCATATTTATTGGAATAAGATAAGTTGTGAAATAACAAGAAATAGAAATATGTTTTCCATACAAGGCAATTAAAATTTAGACTGAAATAGTTTTAACTTGATGTAAAATTCTGGATACAATTACACATAATTAAAGTTCATCAACATTATCTTTATCCGGTCAATTTGTTCTCCTGGGAGTATCTTGAAATGTCAGATTGATTGAACCATAATATATAAAATAAGATCTAATCCCCTTCAGGTAACTATAACAATTTATAAGCCAAGACAAGTATAAAATAATTACCGCATATTGAAAGGATAAAAGTACATTAAAAAATAAAAACAACACGTTATAGTTATTAAAGGTACCAGGATTATAATTTAATACGCCAGACGCGCGTTTCGTCTACATAAGACTCATCAGTGACGCTCAGATCAAAATAGTTATAAAGCCAAACAAGTAAAAAGTTGAAGAGCATTGAGGACCCAAAATTCCAAAATGTTGTGCCAAATACGGCTAAGGTAATCTATTCCTGGGATAAGAAAATCCTAAGTTTTTCGAAAAATTCAAAAGTTTTGTAACAGAAAATTTATAAAAATGACCATATAATTGATATTCATGTCAACATATAGATTTCATGCGTCCGAAGCGCTTTTCTGGATTTATCTTTATCAGGAACGCTCACAGCCGAATATTTGAAAGCCAAGGATGTATAAGAACCGAAACAGGTGAAGAACTATATAACCCAAAAGGACCTAAACAATGGCCATATCCATATAAGGTCAACCTTGCCTGAGGGAGTTAAAACCTTAGTTTCTTTATAATTTCAAAATTCATAAATGTTAGTAAAAATGGCGAAATATTTGTCAGTCTTACTACTTATTATACATACATATTTTCTGCTAAGTAAACACATATCAATAAAAGGATAAACATCATTGGACAGCAACCCAACGAAAGATATAACTAAAATACATTCAATGCTCAATATACAGTCTTCAACAATAAACAGGCGTATTTACAATTCATCAGTCTCTAGATAACCCGAGTACTAGTCCAAGAAGTTGTTAAACTATTAAAAAACTGCCGTAGCAAAAAAAAAATCTCATGATAAAAAGAAAATTAAAAAGAGCAATTATCATAGTTTTCTCAAATGTCTGCTACAACTTGTATGCTTATTGTGGACTTTTTCTTTTTATTCGTGTCATTTATTTTGAAAGATAGACACCAATTATGTAGATAATAAAAGAGGGGCGAAAGATACCAAAGGGACATTCAAACTCATAAGTCGAAAATAAACTGACAACGCCATGGCTAAAAAAGAAAAAGACAAACAAACAATAGTACACATAACACAAAATAGAAAATTAAAGACTGAGCAACACGAACCCCACCATAAACTGGGGGGTAAACTCAGGTGCTCCGGAAGGGTAAGCAGATCCTGCTCCACATGTGGCACCCGTCGTGTTGCTCATGTTAGTACAAACCCGGTAACAAGTCTAATTCAGTTGGCCACATACATATAAGGACAAAGTTAATTTGCGTTGTTTTGATCATTTTTTTCATGCAAATTAACGTCTTTTTTTTGGATCAAGGAATGTATGTTATTTGACAATTTAAAATAATCGAATATATTCACTAAAATCATATCCCATTTGCTTGAGGGTTTTATCTTTAAAGATTTCAATAATGATGTCTTTACTTTATCGTCACACATAGATTGCTGTAAAAAGCTAACTCGTTTGCAATTCTTTGCTTCTTTGCTCGCTTCGTTCGCTATTAATTCAATAAGCATTTCTGGTATAGGTCACGTTGAGTCAAGAATCACTTCCTTTTATTAATATAAGCTCTAGTTTCTTTTTATTCCAAACTTTTTCTCGATGGAATAATAAATGAATCTGAATACGAAACATTTTGTAAAATAAAATATGATATGGCTTTCCGTGAGCGCAACACACGTTTCCGGAATAATCAAACTTTAGAAGAAAAAAATCATAATCGTTTTGAAGTATAAAAACGGCCTAAATAGAACAGCATTAAAACCTTTTCCTGAGCTTATATGCAACAATCACTTCTTCATATATTTATGAATGAATGCATCGTTATTACATTAGCAACAACAGTGCTGTAGCATAAGATAGACACGTATGACAGAATACATTATGCAGAGATATAATACATACAAAACATTAACTGATAATCTGTGATGTTAATTTTCATGCCGCCTTTAAATGATTATCATTACTAAATTAAATAAGAAAAACAATTAGAATTTTATTTATTCTGTACTTTTTTAACTCCAGTAAATGATGTTTGCTATACGACACGAATGTTGACAATTATACCTTCGACAAGATTGGTTGCATCAAAGTATCGTGCAATGTTTAAATATGATTACACCACTATTGCAAAGATAGAATATAACATGGTTTTAAACAACACGTTTAAACTTTATATTAGAATTTCAAATGCAACAAAGAAACAGTTTAAAAGTAAACACAAAAAAAAAGGAATAAAGAAAAAGAACGAGAGTGCAATTTACAACTCATTTAGTTTACTTAGTTCCTTGTGTGTTTAATAAATTAACCGTCAATTGCATTCGTTACAACTCAGTAGGAATCATTTAAATCAAATTATTAAATACATAATAGGAAGTCTATTTTCCTGGACTACGACAAGAAATCAATTTAGTTAATTAAATAAACTCCCTTGTAGAAAACTTTCGGAAATAAATTCTTTGCATTTGAAGAACTCAGGAAAAGACAAAGTAATGTAAAACATGCACAAAATGTAAAAGAAAATTCTAAGAGAAAAAAACCTTACCGGATGCACCCATATTTTGCGTAATATTAATCCAGATCGTGTAAAATTTTAAATCACTGTTAAAATATACATGCACCTGTATGCTGCGAACCTGTTGGAGTCATTTTATCGATTCACAAAGTTCTGTTCATTCATTGGCATATCCCCCGATACGTCGGCGTCTGATCACAGAGAAATACAAAATGCAATTTAATGACAATACTTGATTATTTTACACAAAAACATATGTCTCCCACACAATGTATTCCCGCAAGGTAGTGTTTTCTTTATCTAATAGTTTTTTTCAGAAAAATATATATAGTAAACAAATTTTGTATGAAAAGTAAACTTAAAATCTAGATGATACGACTATATTAGCTATCTTGCAGTACAGAATCGAATCATTTCAAGTCGCTTGAGATTATGCCGTGTGAAATATTAAAGCATAGAAACATTACAGGATTGGATACAAACCTTACTCAATCATTCAACCAATAGATAAGCATGAAATAAGTCTTTGATATAATATTTAACGACAAATTCATAGAATTAAGAGCTGTAAAAGGGACATTTTGTGTGATTCCGTTACGAAATTATTATACAGTGCAGTTTTAATTGAACTTGACTGAAAGATGATACAGTATTTGATTTGTATTCGTTATCATCGTTTTACTAGCTTTTCATGTTCTATTAAAGTAATTCTAATTACAGGAACTAAACCATTGCACCAGTGATCAAATGTCAAATAGCATTCAACTGTACAATACTGAATTTATATTAGCACACAGGTATTTTTGATTTTAATTTATTCATTTGCCTTCTTGTCTAAATTGAACAGTTTTCTATTTTATTTTACGTTGGTTGCTACAACTTTGCTTTGTATGGTGCTCCTTAAGGTGTTTCCGAATTATTCTTCCAGATTGGAATGTTTCCGTGTATTGGTTTTGCACGTGTTGTCTCGTATTCATTTTTAAAAAACATTTTCTGTAACAATTTCATTTTCGATGTCATCATTGCAGTCTTTTAGTTTAAATGATGTTCAACATTTGTTTTGATTGATTGTTGATTGCGTAACGTCCAGTGGCAAATTTTTCATGCAAATTCAGGACGAGAATAAATTAGCAATAAATACAATAGGTACCGGGTAAGTTCTGTAGAAGAGGTCGTCCGGGATGAAGGTCAGGGAAATTTGGACTGCTACAGGAAAATGAGGGTAAATTGGATAGGGACAGAAATATAGTGTTGCAACAGGCCACCTACAACCCCTCAAAGAGTTGTTTCAAGGGTTCTTAACGTGCAAAGAGCGTGGCACTCTCTTTAAACGAGGCATCAGATTTAACGTCTCAATTCTGACCGGACGTGGCTGCAAATTTGTACATCCCGCACAGCCAAACGGACGCCCCACTTTGGCGAGGGTTGAATGGCCGGTCAGAGGGAAACCAATGGTGACCATATTTCTATTCCCCAGTCACCCTTGGGGGTTCAACATTTGTGTATTGATTTTTACTTTACATCACTCGTTTAAAAAAAAATGTGTGATATACGCAAACGAGACAGCAACCAAACAACACTATTAATCCATCGACATCTAAAGGTCAACAGTCTTTAACAAAAGATCATAGGTGTCTACACAATAGGACAAGCTCTAAATCGGCCGAAGGCTGCAAGTTGAATCAAATATAAATCTCCAAATTAACCCTAAACATTAGGATTTGAATTAAGTCAACCATGGACTAGCGGGGTCAGGGACATTGTCAAGTATTATTTCGTGTTTTTGTTACCTTTTATACAGTTATTTAAAGTGAAGCACTTTTCTTGTACTGATTGTTATTGTAAATACGGTTTGGTAATCTACCGGTCGAGATTAAAAAGGGAGGATTTAATGTAAAAATAAACTCGTCTAATCTCGCCACATGTTCTTATCCCAAACCAGGAACCTCGTCAGTAGATGTCATATGTCATATCTTAGTTACTGTAAACCAAATTATTTTCGCGTATATTTTATTTCGCGTTTTGCCCTTTCTAGCCCACTTCTCGATTTTCAAATTTACTTGATGTAGTTTCATAAGGAAAGATCCAAGTTTTACATATTCGCGACGATTTATATTCGCGTTATTTTTCTACTCGCGAAAGTCGCAAAAATAAATCGCTCGCGAAAAAAAGTTGGTTTACAGTATTTTGAGGATCTCGTTTTAATGGCAGATATTTTCGTTGTTTCTATCAAATGCATCCGCAGCTTTGATAGACTCTGGACAATTTTGAGCTTGACTTATTGCATAAGATGGTGATTTAATTTAAATGTTTCCATGTAGCAACATTCCAGCAGCACCCGCATACATTTAACAATGCGATTTACTGCTGGCATTACGATATCTACATCTCAATATGAATAATCTATACGTAGGAAACGATCTCATCATTTGACTTGTTCTAAAAAAGGAAAATTCTAAAAATTGTGTATTTGGAATTATTATTGGACCTTTATAACCATCTATCTATAACTTCACGCGTTTTAATTGATTGTGAATGAATTACGAGATATTACGAGATATAAAGCTTTACAAAATTAATTGAGTAACCGAATGAATTTAGATTATCCAAATTATCAAAGATTAAGCAATCAAGTTAATAAGCAGTACAAGCAATTTCAAATTCCTATATCATCAACACGTGGTGTATAAGTATGTCTCTTGTTAATATATACTTCAGAAAGGAGTTTAAATTTAGTGGAAAGGATAAATTTCTTCTGCTATGCATTCATCTACTAACTCGTGTTTGGTATACACAAATAAAATTTATCACACACGAAACGATCGAAACTGGCATGAATAAGAGGCAACCATTGTGTGTTCCCATTTTGAACTTAGAAATCTCATTTCAAATATACCAACAAAGAGCTGATATGGCAAATTTAAGTATATTTACCCCATCGTTACCTATTGGGGAAAAAAGAAGTGGAATATAGCAATGGGATATTCAAAACTAGTCAATTAGTCGAAAAAGGAAGTTCAATGAACTTATAATTTGATTGATGTGCAAATTAATATTGGAGATAGAAAAGTTTATGGATGCAAATTGGCAATCTAAAATCGTTACCCAAAAGAAAAAAATTCCAAGACCATGACCTTACTATGCTTACCACGCCAAAAACGTAGTGATTATACTGTTGAAAAAATAAGGGCAGAATTGAACTCTCGATGCATCTGCATACATAGCCAAACGATAACATGTGGAATGTCGAAACTGCTTCCATTTTAAAGGAGTGAGACATGGTATGTCGAAACTGATTGCATTTTAAAGGAGTGAGACATGGTATGTCGAAACTGATTGCATTTTAAAGGAGTGAGATATGGTATGTCAAAACTGATTGCAATTTAAAGGAGTGAGACATGGTATGTCGAAACTGATTGCAATTTAAAGAAGTGAGACATGGTATATCGAAACTGGTTGCATTTTAAAGGGGTGAGACATGGTATGTCGAAACTGATTGCAATTTAAAGGAGTGAGACATGGTATGTCGAAACTGATTGCAATTTAAAGGAGTAAGACATGGTATATCGAAACTGTTTGCAATTTAAGAAGTGAGACATGGTATGTCGAAACTGTTTGCATTTTAAAGGAGTGAGACATGGTATGTCGAAACTGCTTGCATTTTAAAGAAGTGAGACATGGTATGTCGAAACTGCTTGCATTTTAAAGGAGTGAGACATGGTATGTCGAAACTGCTTGCATTTTAAAGGAGTGAGGCATGGTATGTCGAAACTGCTTGCAATTTCGAGGAGTGTGACATGAAACTGCTTGCATTTTAAAGGAGTGAGACATGGGATGTCGAAACTGCTTGCAATTTAAAGGAGTGAGACATGGTATGTCGAAACTGCTTGCATTTTAAAGGAGTGAGACATGGTATGTCGAAACTGCTTGCATTTTAAAGGAGTGAGACATAGTATGTCGAAACTGGTTGCATTTTAAAGGAGTGAGACATGGTATGTCGAAACTGATTGCATTTTAAAGGAGTGAGACATGGTATGTCAAAACTGCTTGCATTTTAAAGGAGTGAGACATGGTATGTCGAAACTGATTGCATTTTAAAGGAGTGAGACATGGTATGTCGAAACTGATTGCATTTTAAAGGAGTGAGACATGGTATGTCGAAACTGCTTGCATTTTAAAGGAGTGAGACATGGTATGTCGAAACTGATTGCATTTTAAAGGAGTGAGACATGGTATGTCGAAACTGCTTGCAATTTCGAGGAGTGAGACATGAAACTGCTTGCATTTTAAAGGAGTGAGACATGGTATGTCGAAACTGTTTGCATTTTAAAGGAGTGAGACATGGTATGTCGAAACTGGTTGCATTTTAAAGGAGTGAGACATGGTATGTCGAAACTGATTGCATTTTAAAGGAGTGAGACATGGTATGTCAAAACTGCTTGCATTTTAAAGGAGTGAGACATGGTATGTCGAAACTGATTGCATTTTAAAGGAGTGAGACATGGAATGTCGAAACTGATTGCATTTTAAAGGAGTGAGACATGGTATGTCGAAACTGCTTGCAATTTCGAGGAGTGAGACATGGAACTGCTTGCATTTTAAAGAAGTGAGACATGGTATGTCAAAACTGCTTGCATTTTAAAGGAGTGAGACATGGTATGTCGAAACTAGTTGCATTTTAAAGGAGTGAGACATGGTATGTCGAAACTGGTTGCATTTTAAAGGAGTTAGACATGGTATGTCAAAACTGCTTGCATTTTAAAGGAGTGAGACATGGTATGTCGAAACTGATTGCATTTTAAAGGAGTGAGGCATGGTATGTCGAACCTGCTTGCAATTTCGAGGAGTGCGACATGAAACTGCTTGCATTTTAAAGGAGTGAGACATGGTATGTTGAAACTGCTTGCATTTTAAAGGAGTTAAACATGGTATGTCAAAACTGGTTGCATTTTAAAGGAGTGAGACATGGTATGTCGAAACTGATTGCATTTTAAAGGAGTTAGACATGGTATGTCAAAACTGCTTGCATTTTAAAGGATTGAGACATGGTATGTCAAAACTGCTTGCATTTTAAAGGAGTGAGACATGGTATGTCGAAACTGGTTGCATTTTAAAGGAGTTAGACATGGTATGTCGAAACTGCTTGCATTTTAAAGGAGTTAGACATGGTATG